AGCTTCAGATGCTCACTGTTTTCTATCTATTCTGAAAACATGTACAGTTTCAACAGTTTCTCTTTTTCCAGTCTCGTTCACACGAGCCAAGGGAGCACTTTCCTTCTCACAGGCAGAATGAATTCAAGACAGTTCTCTGTAACCTCAGTTCTCCGTGGAATGTGCTGGCATGTAAGAAGCCATTCCTGAGTCTATCTGTCGGGCACTCAAGTGTCAGCATGTGCAGTTCATGTGAAAACATTTCTCATAGAAAAAGGTACTGGGAGCTAGAGAGAGGGCTCAGTTGGTAAAATGAGAACCCGAGTTTGATTTCTCAGACACAAACAAAACAAAAACAAGCAAGTAGACAAAACTACAAAGAGCAGACAGGCCAGGCCTCCTGACCTGGACCTGGACCCCAACCCTGGGGAGCTGGAGACAGAGGACAGCAAGACAGCAAATCTGTGAGCTCCGGGTCAGAGAGACCCTGCCTCAAAAACCAAGGTGGACAGCAACTGAGGACAACTACCTGAGTTGCTCTGGTCTCCATACACCAACACATGCATGCAGGCATGTGGACAGCATACATACACATACTCACAGCCAGCAGTTTATTTACTGTAAGTAGATAAAAACTGTCAGACACATCCGAAAACCCAGGGCTGCCACATGTACAGCAGTTCAGGAAATGTCTCTTTTGATGATCTCCAGGCATAAAGATGGGGTGTGTGAAATAGCAAGCTTAGTTTCGAATAACTAAGAATTAATGGAGACACCAGTAGCTGTGAAACCCTTGTGCTGAGCTGCAGCAGCCTACTTGGTCATGCCTGGTGGCAGTGGGGAGCTGGTAAGCTCTGACAGGTGTCCCTCTGCTTCCCCGCCCTCGTCCCTTGGTTAACTGACCTGCCTTGTAAAGGTTGTGAATACTATGTTGTACACCAAACCTCCCCATAATGAAATACACAACCCTGCATGTTCAAGAAAACTGTAAATGGTGACTCTGTCATTTTCTCAAATTAAAGATAAATCTCAAATCCATTTCCTAGTGAACTTGACTTCCAAATTACCAATACACAGTTTTGTGCTTTGCCACCATGCTGAACACGGGAGTGTCAGGCGTGTTTCCCAGGCAGACAGTGACTACTAGTTCCTTCCCCTCCCCGGGAAGACAGACATGAAGCTCAAGCCACTTGGCAGTCCCGCAGATGAAAGCAGCAGCGGGCTTACTGTGGACGCAGGAAGCATCGATGCTCACGTTGCTACCAAAGGCAGTTTACCTTTGGCACCACTTATAATGGGCAGGGTCAAAACAGTTTGCCTCTACACTGACTTCACGCACAGACCTGAGAAAACAGTCCATTTCCTACCCATTTCCACACATATACTCACACCTACTCCTATGTATGTATATATCAGCTTAAAACACAAGCACTCAAGTCTCAATTTTTCTTGTTTTTACTACTGAGAACTGAACCTAAAGCCTTCTGCACTACGGCACACGTGCTCTATCACTAGGTGATGCTGCGACTGCTAGCATACTAGCCAAGGGATGGAGTAATACTTCTCTGTTTTAGAGAGAGCAACATTTGTTTTTTCTAGTACTTATTGCCAGGGCAGAGAAAAAAATTGAGTTTCCCTTTCTTTTTCTTCTAGACAGGGTTTCTCTGTGTAATAGCCCTGCTTTGTAGAACAGGCTGATCTTGAACTCACAGAGATCCTCTTGCCTCTGGGAATGCCATCATCCCTGGCTCGACTCAGTTTTTCAATCAAATATTCGTAGTAATTACGTAGCAAACTCAAATCTAACTAGACTCTGTTCATAGCAACACTAGTTTGCCTTTGAAGAGAAACAGCAAGAGGGATTCTCACAGCTCTTGGCTTATACCACATGCTAAGCACCATTTGGACACGAGGTAAGTTTTCTTTCTTCTTTAATGAACATGATGGTACAGACTGTGCAGTCAGGGACAAGCAGACACCGACAGTGAAGATTAGCGCAGCCAGGGCAGTCACAGGCTGAACTCCTTGCTGGGAACAGTATGACAGAAGAGGTCTCCAATTTAGGAAGTGTAGTTGTCTATATTCTAAGCCAGTGGTTCTCAACCTTCCTAGTGTTGTGACCTTTTAATACATATAGTTCCTCATGTTGGGGTGACCCCAACCATAAAATAATTTTGATACTACTTCATACTGTAATTTTCCTATTGCTATGAATCATAATACAAATGTCTGTATTTTCAGGTGGTCTTAGGCGACCCCTGTGAAAGGGGCACCTGACCCAGAGGTTGAGAACGGCTGCTCTAAGTAAATAGCATATGGAGCTTTGTTGTGCTGAGTACTTCTGAGGCAAGGGTTACAAGAACACTAAGAACGTTTCTTCTTTCTGTGTAAGTCCTGGCTGTCCTGGAACTGTAGACCAGACTGGCCTCAAACTCAGAGAGATCCGCCTACTTCTGCCTTCCAAGTGCTGACCAGCAAGAATGTTTCTAACTAGTTCCTTTTACATAGAGCCTCAACTCACTGAGTAAACAAAATGGAGAGAAACCATCTGGCTGAGAAGAGAGGGACAAGTTCCTTGCACAAGTGGTGTGCAGTCATCTTTTTGTAGTGCTTTATTCCAAGGTGTTAAAGTATTATATTTGAAAGCAATGCATTCTTTCAGATTTTATTTAGCCAAGCTAAGTCCAAAGACTGAATGATAACAAAACCATCAACTACATTTAAAACCTGGATTCTTGGAGCCTGGGGGGAGAGGGGGTGCATCACCTGTAACCTTAGTGTTATGGAGCCTGGGGGGAGAAAGGGCATCACCTGTATCGTCAGCGCTATGGAGCCTGAGGGGGCGGGGAGATGGGGTGCATCACCTGTATC